GAAGGCACTTCGCTGTTGCGGAGGGATGTTGAGGGGTATCTCCCCCCGCCACCACCGGCAAAAAAGGTGATTGCCGATTTGCTCATGTACCTACAGCGGAAGAGGCACCAATAGCTGCAATTTCCAAACCCACCGATTCTTACGTCAGAGGACGTCTTGAGTGTGAAACAATCGATAGAACTGTTTCCGCACATCGAAGGTACGTGAGCAAATCGGCGATTATCTCTTTTGCCATGTGTGATTGGGGGGAGATACTCCTCACCATACCTCCCCTACAGGGGAGTTTGGTAAAGGAGACGATCAGCCCGATTCGTGCCTTCCTCAATATTGACCCGTGCTCACTTTCTACTCTCTATATACAATTTTCACACTGCTGTGCTTTTACGGAACTATCAACTCTATACTTTCTTCTCCTCATCTATCGTATAAAATAACCACTGTAAAGTCTGATACTTGACGTTAAGCATCTCTCACCAGGCATGGAAAATCATTTGCATTCATTTCAAGCATTCATTTACATTAATTTGCCTCTAACTTTTTTCTTCAACAGCATTACGCAAAATGATGTATAGAGCTTTTGTAGGTTTTGTTATAAGCTACAACTTTTGTTAGCAAGTCAAATCCGTATCTCTTATGCATGACGAACCAGAGCGATCAGAAGCCACTACTGTTTGTCAGTGAATGTATTTTACATTCACTGAAAAACAGTAACAAGTTCTGCCCGCTCTAGTTCGTGATGCATAAGAGATACATATTTGAGGTATGAACAAAAGTTGTAGCTAATAATAAAACTCTATACATCATTTTGCGGAATGCTATTGATGGAAACAATTAGAGGCAAATGAATGTAAATGAATGTATGAAATGAATGCAAATGAATTTCCATGCCTGTCTCCAACTATATAAATCGTTAACTTCACGCATGGAGTAATACAAACATGATTAGTTAAAGTTATCATTCTTGATGGAGAATCACGAATAACTTACAAAAAGAGGTTATTTTCTTAAATTATTTGATTATGATTAAACTAGAGAGGGTCTAGTATAAGAGAGGAGCGGACTGCCTGGTATTGAGCCAAACGAACTGTCAAAGCCAGAGCCAATCGTACTGCGCTTATCTTGATTGCATTGGCAGTGTTGCAAGAAACCACCTAGGCATAGGTTGCCAAAGCATTTTGTTTTGAATCCGCTCCTCTCTTATACTAGACCCTCTCTAGATGAAACTTTATTTTAAATATCTCGAAAACGGATTCATTTAGGTAGTCTGTTGGTGTGAACACTATCGTTTGAAATGATTTTTATAGTCATATTCTGTTATCAAACTGTAGTTTTTGTAATAAATAATCAAAGTTTCAAAATCGCCTCAAAAGCTGCTCTTAGTAATACTTTTTTATTAAAAGTTGCTTCAACTTCAAGATACTGTTAAAATGTCCGCTTTTTCTTATTTTTTTTTATAAAAAAAAAAATAAAAAAGACGAAACATATGTTTTAGTTATTTGAATTCAAGGGTTTATTTTTTTGTAAAAACCGTAAAAAATCATTGTTTATTTTTTTCATAAAGCCCAATTAATTCCACACAACTCTTTCGAAGTCAAATTTTCTCTACAACCAACTGTTTCCATAGTACATATTTTACATAAAGTGTGTGCAAAAACGCACAGGCCCTTTTCAAAAATTTGTCAAAATAGTGTCCTCTCCTGCGGAAAATATTTGGTCTATCATACTGAATATATGTACCAACCCAAGAAACATTTTAAGTTTTATGATACTAAAAAACAACATTCATAAAACCCTGGTCAAGGCTACTTTGCCATTGATGCATCCACCAAAACCTCATTAAGACTAGAATCTGTCTAGTTGGTCCATCCTGGAGAGGGTTCTGAAGGGTATATTTCTGAATCCACTAGAAAATTCATCAATCAAGATAGAAAAGGATTCAAAAATACCATCCGATCTTACCAAATTATTAAAATTGTTCTCATAAAGTGGCCACGTTAAAGGTGCCATATTAAATCTTATTTGAAATGTACTTGAAAACATCGAAAAAAATAAGTCCACCCTCGTAAAACGTTGATCTCACTTATTATTTTTAATCGAGAAGAAAAATGAATTATTCTTCAGTTTGATCATTAAGCTCAGCCGAGGTATGTTTTATGATTATCGTATTTCAAATATCTGCTCATTCCTAAATTGACCAAAATAAAGTTATATCCATGGAAATACACATTGAAAACGACGTTTGTAAAAATCAAACTAAATAATTGTAATATGGCGGTGGCTTAAAAGTTGGTTCGCATGGGCCATTTGTGGAAAAGTTGTTTTGCTTTAATGAAATCCCTAACAAATTCATAAGGTTTTAAAATAGCTTTTATGAAGAAAACTTCCTGACTGAATTGTATTTATCTAAAGCCATTTTGCTTGATCCTATCCCGTTCAGATTTATGGCAGCATTTATGGAGGCAAAGTTGCCTTGCAAAAAGTTAAACGTCAAAGTTTGTTTATCTTTCGATAGTTGCGTTGTTCGATCATTACAACGAGGTTTTACTTCAGCGTTCTTCCAGGGGATTTTCTCCCGCTGAATTGGAAGCAGTTACTAAGGAAGTGTGCGGAACTGTTTTGCAACATTTCGCATATATCGCAACAACATCTGGAAGCTCAACCGTTCCCGTAAATATCCCCTTCTTCCAGATGATTCCCGAAGTGCACCTTCAAACGATGCAGTTGAAATTAAGTACGTTTGAATGAAATTTCGAACCTTTTGCTGAATAAAATTACTGCTATGAATTGGAAACCAGCCAATCTCCACTTACTGACAGTTTCAACGGTTTGCTATAGGTAAAAATGCAAATTATTTCGTTCGTCCGATCTGGAGAAGGTTGGTTTGTTTTTAGACTGTTTCATAAAGGAGACGGTCAACACCGGTCAGAACGTGATGCAAATGCCAGTCATTGCTGAAATTGACTTCCCTTCGTCGTTAACATCGCTTGAATTTTTCATCCTACTTCGTCTACTCTTCGAGATTTCCTTGTCATAAATATTGCTTTTATTCACTATGAGGATCCAACTTTTGAGTTCAATTTGGAAACATAGTAATTGGGGATTTTATGGTACACTTTAACAAGTCTAAACAGCAACAATATATGCTTTTTGCTCTCATTTAAAACCTTATTGTTTTATGGTTGCTTTTATAATGACAGAACAACTTTATAGAGTATTTTATCAAGGCATTAATAAACAATAGCTAATGAGGTTTATGATTGATTTACAGAACAGTTTTATGGAGGTATTGAGAGCTGCTTTAAATTTATTTTTTAAGCAACTTTCTCGACAGGCTATAAAAGGTTTTTAAAACAGTAATAAGCAGAATTACTAACCAGAAATGTTTTACACTTTGAAATGCTGTATTTGAACTAAATGGATTGTTTATTTCCGTTATAAAACCATCATAAATCACAGTGGATGCCAAGTAGCTGCTGAATTGTTACTTGGGAAGTGTCATCCAGATCGAAGATAATCGCGACCGACCGTTTTGGCGTGGAATCCGTCAACTGTTTGTACCTGATGGGCGCACAACAATTTATATTTGACACAACATTCTACAAAACTCATTTAAAACGGATTTTTTAAAACTTTTGTTTTGTTTTTTTTTATTTGGAGCATTTCCATTTCACACAAGGGCGAAGATTGATTCCGGATGAAGAGCGATATGCCTTTTCCCAAAAAAATAACATTCTTCGGAGTAACCATGAGAGGCCTATATTAGATGCCTTAAAAAGCTTACCGCTCAAAGAAAATGTTTTTTTTTTTAAATATTTTTCCAATACCCATCGAAAATCTAAAAAAGCAAGTTTTTCTACTTTTATTAAGAATATTTCAGAATAATCATCATGGCAAAAAGTTGGACTCAAAAAATCGCAAAAATAGGCCTTTCGGTTTTGTTTCTAGTCTAATTTTTTACCTTTTTTTTCGGAAATCTACACACTTAGATTTTTTGCCGAGATTGGCACCACCGAGCAGCTCGGCAATATATTTTTACTGAGATCTCAGCAGATTTTCCGCATCGTATAAAATGCGGATGCATTGTGCGTGGGACTTAAGGTGAATGTTGGCCGAGCCCAAAGAGCTATATGCACTGTTGCTTCCAATTTTCGAGAGCACAAATCTTGGACACTATGTGGTATCGTGAAGTTCTAGTTTTACTAACGTGTTGTGTGCTTGAAGTTTCCAAGTAACAATGAACTCCACTAAAAAGAAAGTTTCTATAGCGATTCAAGTTAAAAAACCAACAATTAAGGACGCGATTGACGGAATCCTTATTGCATACAAATTGCTTTACCACTTCGCATTTTGACGGGATCACATCAGGTAATCTACTTAACAAAAATCCTGTTCCCCTAGTTTGAAGTAGTCAGGACTAGGAATCGGTGGTAGATCTTACATCCCGTAAAGTACCACGAAAAGGTGATCTACCCACGTTACGGGGCTGAAAATCTATTAGTGCCCTTTGAAACTAAATACTTTAAAGATATATTCGGTATCAATAGTTTAAAAATCAATTGATAAATTGCTGAGCGATGATTTTTCAAACATTGCCGTTCACTATTTGCCGTTACACATTTTACCGGAGGCATCATGTTCGGAGTGTTAATGTACAAATTTTAAAACAGCATCACGTTTAATTTTCAGATCTTTATGACTTCTGGATGGCGATATTACTGCCAGTGTAAATGCGAAGTGGAGGGATTTCCGTGAACCTTGTCCTTAAAATCACTATTTTAGTAGGTGGGTAGCTATTCACTTAGTTTGTTTTAACAAGAAACACTGAAACTCTGATAGCGGCAGCTAATTTTACACAGTTTTCAGACTTCTATTTTTCTCGAACGTTGATCTATCAAATCAATTAATGCACTTCCTACTGCAATAACTTTTTCGCCACATTCTAAAACATTGTTCAATCCTAACGTAGAACCTTCTAAATAACACTCCGCTGGAACACTTACGAAGAATTTCATGTTGGCTGTTGGTAATCCACTTGGTTCTCGAGAAAACGTTTCCTGAACTATCGCGTAATAACTTGTGCAGATTTATGAGTCAAAATATGAACTAGTCATGTCTTTTATACTAAAACACGCCCCGGCATCTGCGATCTCGCCGCTTCGGCGTTCCGAGGAGATAATTTCCAAAACTCCGCTCGCACTGCCACTGGAGGGGGAGGACGCCGAGAAAACGACCCAAGAACTCGGGTAATGTGTCACATGGGATCGCATACCTATACCGTAGCATATACGACACGACCTAAGGAGGTGACTTCAACAGAGGTTAATACGCACCCTGTCGTCTGGCTGCCTGTCTGCCTGGCTCTGTGTGTGCGCGTGCCGGCTGGAGCATATCAGTGATATGATCAATCCTTCTTTGATCTTGTTTGCGCTGTTGTGGGGATCTGAAGTGACACTCGAGAGTTGGTACCTGAGGTAGTAAACAACTGTCGATACTGTGTGTGTGTGTGTATCTGGTGTCCAATAAGAACAACATCACCGATCGACAAAGTGCCGCTTTGGTGCGCGGTGATAAAATAGTTTTACCATAACATTGCATCAACAAGCGCCAGCTGATCACGGGGCCACACCGAGTCGATCCGCGCGTAGGCTACCTCGAGCCTGATTGAAGAGGTGGCCAGGTGACTGCTGCTTACAAAACCAACATAGTAGGCGATTAGTCATACTTTGATTTTGGTCGATTTGTTTTCGGAGTGAAACGGACAAAATAGGACTAAACTGTTGACAGGTTTCAGTAGCAGCGGGTTGGTGATGCTCTTTCAGTAAACTATTTCCGTTTTACGGATTCATTGCAAGAAGAAGATGTTTCACCGCAGCTGTCAAATGAACAAGGCTTCAATGAATTGTCAGCAAATTTGTCAATGCACACTATGTTTTTTTTTTCAGTTTTCAGCTATTCAGCATTTCCATACTGGCGGTAGAACGTTGACAGCAGCGGTAGCCACCGGACGGATTTTTTTCATGAGATCTGCAATATTTGAGCATCGATCATCATTGGTCAGTGGGACGTCACTTGTTTTATGAATCTACGAATCAGAACAAAACGAGATGCTGCAAAGTTTTAAGTTTGCTGTCTGAAAAACAATCAATCATACCAATTGTTCGTCAGACGAAGTCTTCTCGTGGTAAGGTGTTCAGAATTGGACAAGTGATTGAAGCAATGAAATCGTCAACTCATTTCCGTCAGGATTTGCCTCTTGTGAAGAGCAGTTAAGCCACTTGAAATGTTTAGATTTGAAGTAATTACGGCAAATTAACTGATCCCTGATGTGAAGACTCGCAGTGCTGGATTTCCTGTTTACTCCAAAGTTTGTTTCCGAAGTAAGGAACTGGTATTAGGTCATATTGGTTCGTCGGTTTTTTAGTAATGTTCAGCATGCACGATCGTCGGTAGACCGGCCCAAAAAAAAAGCTCATTACACACACATTACAACCAGAAACGTCAAATACCGTAAAGACTCGAAATCCAGGCATTTAGTCCATACATCTAATGTAATTCAAACGCAGGCAGTACGAGAAAGCATCCCGGAAAATGATTAGGTTGGATAACGCCTTATGATTTTTCTTGTCAACATTGATGTTAGCAGCATATCTGAGATATGACACAAACATCAAAACGGCCAGGCCTACTACGCAGCGTTGTCAAATTTTTTTTCAGTTTATCGATATGAAAAGTTTAAAGAAATCGGTATTTATTATCATAATTAATTTAACATTTTTGTGAAAATTCAAACTTTGGGACTAAGGACAGAAAATTTGCTTTCCAGGAGAAGTTGGATGAAATTTTTGGGCAACGTGTGAACTAGCTTCTGAAGGAAGCCGATAAAACTTCCAGAGAAAGAATAAAGTAGCTTTTCTGGAGGAAGTTTGAAGACAGTAATAAGAGAAGTCATCCAAGACAAATATTGAGAAGCTTCTGGTGACTTAAATTAAAGCTTTCGGGAAAAAAAATCGGATAACACATCCAAAGAATGCCAGACAAGATTCAGAAATCTAAAAAAAATCCAGTTGTAGCCATTTCCAGGTAAAGCCAGAAGAAGCCAAGGGGTAAGTTACTCAGCACAGTATGCCGAAAGTAGATTCGGCACAGCATGGGCACATACATCGGTACATCTTCGGTACAATCTCGTAGGCATTGGATTGTTCATAAAATAAAATGGGAGCACTGTTGAACAACTGTCATTGTAGTTGTTCACAGCATTACGTCTATATTTCAAGAACATTTTCTAATTGAATATACCAGATGAACGCAGACCAGCAGCTCACTACTCGGTTCACTTATGGATTTAAATCCGAAATGTAAATGCTTACGAGGACTCAATAAAAATAGGCAGTTTATCAAACTTCGATGGTTCCCTTTATTAAAATAATGCTGCAACTCTAACAAAACAAACTACAGAAGTCATACTCATCATCCTCTATATTCAGTCTCTAACAATTTTACCCACTGGTTTCAACGCTTTCCGGCCGCTCGAAAGGCTGGGTATCTGGTCTGCCTTTGAGGGCATTACAAAACCCTCATACACACGACTTTTATTATCTTATGAACACAAGACACATTTCGCACACTTACCACTTCCTGCGTCATCCTCAAAGGGATGCCGAACTAATATGAAAAAGGGATGCATCATCTACAGCCAATATTTTTAATGACGTTAACGTCCATTAATGTCTTCAATGCAAATTCCCATTGATGACGTTAACGCTGACGGTAACGATTAACAACCCTGCCTACAACCGAACAAATAGAAGAAGAATCAGGAAGTAAACACATTTATGAGCGCTTTTTTCTTCTCATACGTCCGACGGCGGTTGCTCCTGCCTAGTATTTTTCGATGTTATTTTCTTTTTTCGACATTGTACTCCTCCTTTTTGTCTTTGTTGTGTCCTGTTGGATGGCTGATTCCGCTCACGATCCATATCGCCAGTATTCCTCTTTGATGGTCGCTAGACCGATGTTATCCTTGTGATTGCAAAGCAAAACAAGCTGTCAGAAATACCGAGTTGCCAATTATACCATAACATTCGTATTTTTCAAAAAATCATAGCTTGCTTGCTATGACCGGCACTGCCGGTACAATCGGCACACCTGCAGCAGACTTGCGGCACACTGAGAAAAAAACTTGACCCAAGATTGGTGTGCGGAGTGACCTACCTCTTGGAAGAAGCTCAGAAAAACCTTCCAATAGAAGTCGAAAAAACTTACGGAGAATTACTTATCGAGAAAGTTCCAGAGTAAGACGAACGGAATTTCTAGGAGATACATTTGGTAGAAGTTTAATTGAACTTCCTGGAGATGCTGGAAGAAACTTTTTAAGGTAGATTGGGAGAAACTTATGGAGAAAGTCGGAAGTCAGAAGGTTAATGAATCTGTCGAAAGAAACTTCAAGGGGAAGTTGGGGAAAAATTCCAGAAGAGATTTCTTGGAAATGTTAGCACAACATGTTCTAATGAACCTGATTTTAATAAAACATCTATGAAGACCCAACAATTCCCCTGAAGTTTCCTGAACATTCCTACAATGCACTTCGGAATATCACATAATTCTTCTGAGCTCCTTGAAAGTTCTTACAATTTTCATAAAGTTTAAGGGACTGTTTTGAAGTTCTCTGATCATCCTCGAAATAGTCGGAACTTCCTTGATTATAATGAAACTACCACTTTGACTATATGTTTTAGTATTACTTCTACGTGAAGTAAACGATTTACATAGTTGAAGATGCTAATTTCAAATAACAGACTGTAGTGGTAATTTTTATACGATAGATGGAGTAGATGAAAGCATAGAGTTGATAGTTCCGTTAGATTACGGCAGTGTGAAGATTGCATATAGATATTAGAATAGCGAGCTAGAACAACTTTTAAGGAAGGTACAAATCGGTTTTTTCATCTCTCTTTACCAAACTCCCCCTTTGGAGAGGGATGGTGAGGGGTGTCCCCCCCCCGCCACCACTGGCAAAAAGAGATGAAAACCGACCCGCTCAAGTACCAACTGTTTGTTTGAAACAGTTCTACCGCTTTCAGCACCGACAAAGGGCATTTCGAGTTTATCCGTATGCCCTTCGGATTAAAAAATGCGCCTGCGACATTTCAGCGCGTAATGAATCACATCCTAGGTGATTTAATTGGAAAATGTTGCCTAGTCTACCTAGACGACATTATTATTTTCGGCAACTCTTTGCAGCAACACTTGGATAACTTGAATAAAGTTCTTCAAAGACTGATTCAAGCTAATCTTAAAGTGCAATTTGAGAAATGCGAATTTTTACAGAAACAATGTGAATTTTTAGGGCACATTGTTACACAAAACGGAATAAAGCCCAATCCTAACAAGATTGACAAAATTCTAAATTGGCCCCTTCCTAAAACAGCAACTAATATTAAAGGATTCCTTGGGTTTTTGTGCTATTATAGGAAATTCATCCGCGATTTTGCAAAGCTGACGAAACCCTTAACGAAATGTTTGAAGAAAGATGCAAAAATCGTTCACACTCCAGAATTTATAGATTGTTTTAACGATTGCAAACACTTATTGACATCTGATCCAATATTAAAGTACCCAGATTTCAATAAGAAATTCATCCTAGAAACAGATACCAGCGATTTCGCTCTGGGAGCTGTTTTGTCCCAAAAATTTGAAGATGGCAAAGAACATCCTATTGCATATGCGTCTAGAACCTTGAACGAAGCAGAGTGCAATTACTAGGCAACCGAAAAGGAACTCCTTGCAATTGTATGGGCCACAAAACACTTCAGACCATACATATATGGAACTGTCTTTGAAATTCGAACTGACCACAAACCTCTAGTGTGGCTTCGACAGAAGAACGATTTGAATAGAAGGCTTCTTCATTGGAAACTTGCCCTTGAGGAGCTTGAATTCGAAATTAAATACAAAAAGGGCCTACTAAATGCAAACGCAGACGCACTCTCCCGTATAAACCCGGAATCTAGTCTAGTCTAGTCTAGTCTACACATACACAGCCAGTACTTGAAAG